AGAAATGATAATGGTGGAGAAGTAGAATAATTGTGAAAATGATTAGATTAAGTGAGCAAATGAGCTCTCCAGTTGGGACGGAAACCAAAGAATTGAGGTCAGCATTCCTGACAATTATCATGAGAGAGAGAGAGAGAGAGAGAGAGAGATGAGAGAGAGAGAGATGAAGAGGAGAGTAGGAGAGATGAGAGAGAGAGAGAGAGAGAGAGAGAGAGAGAGAGAGAGAGAGAGAGAGAGAGAGAGAGAGAGAGAGAGAGAGAGAGAGAGAGAGAGAGAGAGAGAGAGAGAGAGAGAGAGAGAGAGAGAGAGAGAGAGAGAGAGAGAGAGAGAGAGAGAAATCAAGGTATGTAGTGAAAACAAGATGGAAATGCTACGACGGATAAGGGAAGTAGAAAGTACAGGAAAGTGTGGCACTTAGAAGCATTCAGCTTTGTGCTTTTAGATGTTTTGTTCTGGTGGCAGTAACTTGAGCAGTTTTGTAAACCGTGCAGCGCGCTCAAGCAATGGGGCTCAGTGTGCGTCCCCCATCCGCTCAGCTTTATCAAGTCATATCATTGCCTGTAGCTGAAGGAATTTTGAGGAAAGTGAGGTCTTGGAACAAGGGGAAAGCAGAGATGCAGAGCCCCAAGTGCTGGATTCCTGAACCCCGAACACACACACATACACACAAGCGTTCCTTTGCCATAAGCACTCAGACAGGGATCTGGTTTCATGGTAAATTTTATTACACATGGATGTAAGGGGCTCCCTACAATTAGGGAGGGCTTCTTAACAGGCTCTCGCTTATCCGTCTGCTTGTTAGCCTGCTAGCTTGAACATTTCGTTCTCCCATTTTATGTTCCTTCCTAACCCTCCCCTTTTTGCCCCGTGCCCAGTCTCTTCCATTCCAATTCAACCTCTCTAACTCGATCCCATTTCTCTACCAACATCTCTCCTCTCTTCCAGCACCGGCCACCTTTTTCTTTCTTCTTTGCTTTATGGCTCACATATGAGCTGTTAAGTTAGGAGTGTGCCTCCCTGTTCTGTAGCCATCTGGGATCGGCTCTTCAGAACCCCTCTGGCCCTTTGAGGAGATCCGGTTTTCCATGAACACTCACCCCTCACCTCCCTCTTTCCTCACGTACATACACAAACACCTCCCTGTGGACCCCCTCGACATCTCTGAGATTCCTCCCTCCTTGCCTTCCATTGTCCGTGTTTTTGAAGGAACGTCTGCGGATTGTGTGAAGATTGGATGTTCTGCCAAAGTAAATCCAGGAGGTTTAGTGGTTCCTACTAATGTAGGGTACATGATGTCATTGGCTAGATCATGGACAAGGTTCGAAGGCCACACATGGACACTTGTAGCAATTTGTCTCTTCTCTCTAGTTCTCCCCTCCGGAGCGAGTTTTATCTCCTGGCGGTGGGCCTCTTCCGCTTGGAGAGTGGTAACTGTATAACACCCCTCACCTGTTTTCAAAACAAAGATGTGAGGCTTGAACGTTTTTGAAAATCATCTCTGTGTTTTCATTCTTAGTAAATTAGAGGGGGTCAGCCTTAAGGGGAGGTGGAGGAACTCTGTATAGTGATGTTTAAGTAACTCTGGCATGTTTTTAGGAAAATTATGGCAGATTTGCAGTATTGCCTCATATCATTTTATTAACCCTGGGAAGGTTCCTCAGTTTGACTGAATGAAAAATGATACACTTTTTTTCTTACTGCGGAACCCAAAAGTAGATGTTTTGAAGAATTTTCTCGCTGCTTTCAAGCTTAAAACAGCACCACAAAAGTTGTTCAAACGTCCTTTTCACCATATTACAAGTCTCCTGAAATAATTCACTAACTTTGTTTGAGAAAAAGGCTAAAATTGAATGGCATAGTTGGACAAAAAACTGTAACCACCCTCAAGTTGTTCCAAACTTGCATGACTTTCTTTTTTCTATGTAACACAAAAGAGGAAGGGGGCGGTGCTCCAATGTTGTTTTGGACCCCATTGACTTTGTGTATGGGCATACAATCATCAAAATATATTCTTTTTTTTTCTTTTTTGCAGAAGAAAGTAAGTCATACAGGTTTAGAATGCCATGAGGGTGAGTAAATGTTTTAGGTGAACTGTTCCTTTACACTTGAATCAGTCACAATGTCAGAAACAAGATTGCGCCCCAGTGCACATATACACACACTTGTTCGATTGTACAGACCTATGAGCAAAGATTTCCCCAGTGCAGTTCAATAAACATTTTACGAGTCCCTGCGCCCCACTAAACTCGGTCGGTATCGAAACCACTTCACTCGTGAGCCGGCAAATAAGCAAATACCTCCTCCCCTTTCTCTAGTTCTCGCTTTAGCTTTGCAAATGAGTTTCTCTCTCCAGTGGCCTTAGTCATCTGTAGGTGCTCTGTGCCCAAAACCCCTGAAATCTTACAGCTTCAAGGCAAATGTTTGTTTTTAATGTTTATTTTTTTCCGATTTTTGTCAGGAGAGGAAATGAACGATGCATGTTCATGCTGGGAAATCCGTGTACGCCTAATGTTAGCGACGTTGGCTGAATAATTTTTCCCCCTCTATCTCGATAACTTCTTTGCTTGTATGTAGGTCTGTACCAGGATTTAAAAGCCGGAGAGCTTAAGCCTGACTTTCCGAACCCTCGCCCGAATCCTTCGCACTAACCCGCTGAGCATGTGGAACAAATTGTCTCAAATGGGGTATTTTCCTCCTCGTGAGGTAGTGACAGTTGATCTAAAATGTTGCGTTTTTTTTTTTTTTTTTGGGGGGGGGCTATAATGGCTTCCCCTCTCAGCGCCTCGGCCTCCGGCCTTCTCCTCCATGTAGACTGCTGCCTTCTGCGAAAAACTGAGAGGTTGTTGAGTACAGAGTGTCTGAGAGCTGCTCAGGTGTTTGTTCAACATTTTTATTTAACCTCTGACTAAGTGGCTTGTTAACAGGTATAGAACGAGTCGTGCCTACACAAGAACTACTACACATCGTGCCTTGTGGGTATCTTTTTACTGCGTGTTTCCGAACCTATAGGAGCACAGAAGAAGGTTTTTAAAGAATGTTTCAACTGTTTTTGTCCATTTATTTAGTCAAATTGGTCCAAAATAACATTGTACCCCTTAGACTTTAATTGTATGGACAAAAAAAAAAAAACAGGCATCATTTAAAAATATTTTCTTTTTTGTTCCACATAAAGTCATACAGGTTTGGAACAACATGAGGGGGAATAAATGATGACACAGTTTTTATTTTTGGGTGAACTATCCCTTTAAGACACTTTCTCATCCAGGTCAGTTGCGTTCACATAATTCTGACCCAGACGTTCACACACGGCTGCCCGGTGGTCGGTTAAAGTTATGTTTATTACTGTAACAGAGGAGGAGGATGGGAGAGAAAAACTGGGGGTGTGGGAGATGGAGGGAAGAGGGTGAGAAAACCAAACAGAAGGAGCCCAACCATCACATTCTGGTCAGGGAGCAGCCGGGAAAACAAGCTGAAGAATCCGGAAGGGCAGGGTGTGGGTCCACTCTCATTCGAATGTAATGTCTTATTGATACATTTCATCGCTTATTCTCGTTGCTGTGTGACGGTGGTGTCAGTTGTGATGGTCGGCTTCCCAAAAGTAATCATGTGCATTTTTCCTTATTTCTGCAATAGATTTATTTAACAAAAACTGGGGATCATGCCCGATAAGACTTGACTACATTAACCCCAACTCAGTTTGGGTGTAGTTCTTTTCTGTCATAATTTACATACCCTCATTTTGTTCCCAGTGTTTATTTCTAATGTAAGACACCAGTGAAATTTTGAAAAATGTTTACGCTGCTCTTTTGCATTCAATGGAAGCAATATTGAGACCATTCCAACCACATAGCAATGTGTTAAAAGCCATTCTGAATACTCAGCAACTGCATAGCAAAGTTTTAAAAAACGACTCTGGAGCTTTGTTCCCTTGTCAACTTCCAAAAAATTAACTACCGTACACATAGTTTAAAAGTGATCCAAACAACTTGCGTGCTAAATTCCAAGTGTTTTGAAGCCATGTGTTTGATAGATTTGTGGGAGTAAGAGACCAAAAAGTGACTGAAAATCTTGCCGTCTGTCCCCAAATGTCATTCACATTTACAAATATTCGCTTGTGAGAAGATGTGTCATGCCAGGTTTGACATCAGTGATGAAGTTGGTTGGTGCATGTCTCGTAACCACGTGCAACTCTCCAAATTTTAATATACGTACGTTAGAATTAAATTGCAAAGCTACAGCAGAGGGTAAATGATGCCAGAGTTTTAATTATTGGCAAACTTTTTAATTGGTAAATTGTAATGTAAAGAAAAAGAGAGAAATACAAACTTTAAAGGCATTTTCTGTTAGTGTTGCATGCAGGATTCAAACTTATGTCGTCCACATGAGTTCCACAGCTCAATGTGTCAGAGCCTGTGCGCTCAACCTCATCTCCAATAAATTAGTACATTTCTAATCTAAGAAGTGAGCAGACATGGAAACCTTGGGGCGCTTGTTAAAACTGTACTTGGTTTGAGCAAGTTGAGGCTTGAATCTCTCCTGTATCAAGCAGGGAGGTGAGTATGCTGTGCGTGTGTGTTTATATTTGAGAGAAACTGGTGTTTTGTTCTCTATTCTCTACATCTCGGATCTTCTCTCACCGTCTCTGTTATTGCTTTTTCACACCCTTCTCCTCTGGGTTTAAAAGATCTCCGTCGCTCGCTTTTTTCCTCCTCACTCAAATCCATTCCAGCTGAAACTTGCGTGAATACTCTGTGATCCCCCTCTCGCTGTAGGGCTCGAAGTAATACTCTGTCTATCAAAAGGAATATCAGAATCACTTCTTATAATGCTTGTAATTGAATTCATACAGATAAAATTTCCACTCTTAACAGCATGAGCTGAGATGGAGATTTGATAACTCAAGCCCCAAGACTACCAGGCTTAGAGTCAGAACGGGCTCATTTCTAAATATGTACGTGTGTGTTTTGGCAGTAGTTAACAATGAGCTTTATCTTTTACAGACACAGAACCGCATGAAGTTAATGGCTGATAACTATGAGGATGACCACCTCAAGGCCTCCAAATCTGACCAGACCAATCATAAACCCTCTCCAGATCAGGTGAGCCAATCAGAGCGTTCATTTTTTGAGTGCACCTTAGAGAAGCACTTTCTTTCTTTATCCTTTACTACATCAATTAAGTTTACTAAGGTAAGCGTCACTTACTTGGGGTTTGTGATTATATGTTTAAATGATTTTTTAATATTATTATTTTCCATTTTTATTATGAATGTTAAAAATATGTATTTCTCAAAGTATCTCTCTCTCTCTCTCTCTCTCTCGCTCACTGATATCTGATTTCTCCCTAAAGGCCCTATTCTGATTTATAAAAAGGCAATTATAACCAAACAAAAACAACAGGAAATTACATATTTCATATGTAATAAGGCACTGCATCCTCAGCTCCAATTTGTGTATTATTTCATATTGGGTCACCATGAAAAAGCTCACGTTTTCTCATTCATGAATGTTCGGGCACACACATCCCTGAGTGTTTTTCTTGGAAGAGTTCAGGCACACAGGATGATTCTGGAAGATTTAACTGGCTTTGTTCTTTGTTGCTTTAAAACGTTGAATTCCTTTCGCCTTAAGCCTCTCTCCTCTGGATGGCTGTCCAACAGGAATTAGTTCATAAGGAGAGAAAGAGGAAAGAATTGACATGATAAAGGATGAATAGAGAGTGAAATTCAAAGAGAAAGGACAGCCTGTTGCATTCTTCAGTCCCAGCTCTCCCAGGAAGCACAAATCCTACTGGTTGTTATGACATGACTTGATGCGCTAAACGCAGTGTGTCATACCTGTCCATGGACTCCTGAAGTAATCTAGTTCAAGTGCTACATCCTAATTCACATGCTGAAAGAAACCCATCAATCAACAACACTCCGCCCAGGCCCTCATCACAACACAACACGGTATTCCCAACCGTGTATGTGTGCGTGTGTGCTGTCGGAGCCAATTGGATCTACGTCTACACACATATAACACACTCAATCTCCCATGCACACACAGAAATGTGCTATAAAGCTATCCCAGGGTCTCTCCCCCATTACAAACCCTTTTCATTGTCTTTCCCAATTGCCAAGAAAACACTTAGCTCACATTTTCCTGTGATCTTCATTTGTCACTTACATATTTCCAATTCAAATAAGAACACCCTCACACATCAACACCTGAGCCCATTCCAAACCTCCCCGATCGCACTGTTATCACCTAAACATGCCGACTGCAGAGCTGGGACCGACAGGGACCTCAGACAGCATTCATTGCAGGTATTTTCCACAGCCATCCAGGACAGATGGGGTAGAGGCCATGTGTGTTACTCATTTTGAGCTCATACTGCTATGGTTTCAATTCCTGTTGGAGCATAGCTGCCTTTTTTGAGAAGGGAGAAGGGGGGGGGGGGGTTCAGTTAAATGGCTAACTAATCACCCTTAACCCTCTGTTGAGAGATGGAGAAATTAATGGCAAAGTGGTGTCTCAATCTTATAGATGGCATTCATTCAGCATTTTTTCACAACATGTAAAATAGTGTAGACTCTGTGCTGATCCTCACTGAGTGTTTGACAATGGGCATGCATTTTCAGTGCAATACATGACCTGCTCTCACCCACTAATAACTTCTTTCTTTAATCCCATGCTGCCTTGGATTAAACCTGCACTCATTTTCCACCAATAGGACGATGAGGAGGGCATTTGGGCATAGCCAATCATGTGCCCTCTCCCAGCCATTTTGTTCAGAAGGGTGAGAAATGTATAAATGGGGAATGATGGTGGTCTTCTGTATTTCATCATGTGTTAACTGTCTTTGAGTGTGCTTTTTTTCTTCACTTTCCAGTTCATCCTTTCATCCTTTATTTCCCTCTCTTTGTTTTCACGTTTTGTGATTTCATTGTCCGTTTTTTTTTTTGTCTTCCTTATTTTGATGTGTATATTAATGATGTTTTTTTTTTTTTCTCAAACATTGTTGTGCATCTTTTTCAACTTGTTGGCCACAACCTAAAAATTGGTCACAGCCTAGGTCTGTTCTGATTTGTTCCTGGGCTTTATTTTTAAACGTATTATTGCAGAAGTTTTTTTTATTTTTATTGATTATTAAATGAATTATAAATGCATTTTTCTTGGTGTTCAGGACCGAATCCAAACAAACCTGGGTGTTGTTTTTACAAAATGTGCATATTTGTCATCTATTGCTATGTTGATAAATTTACATATTGTCAGGCCAATGCAGTTACTGGTAATATATAGCATTTAAATGTTCGATTTTTAAGGACATTTTAGCTTTGAATGATGAACCGTTTGAATGATGAACCGAAAATCTGAGTCCTGAAACAAAACCAGCTAAGAAACACTGCTTTTATATAGTGTTTTTATGAATAAATCAATGCAGCTTAAGCCCTTTAAATTGATTTTTATAAATGACTTGAGCAGCTATTGAACTGGCATATTCTTTCCCATCCCTTGTCGAACATCTATTCAGGATTTCTGTCACGCAGACAGTTGAATTCTTCCCTCCACCTTTATTATTTTACACACACAGCCAAGGAACAAATCGACCCGTCTGCCTTTTGACTGCTGTGGTCTTTTCCTGTCTTTTCCCTCCAAAAAAACAACAACATTCTCATATTTGCCTCCACACTGACAGCTTTGATGGATGGTTTTGAGGAAACAGATAGACTGTAGAATACATATGATCTGCACATGTTTAATCCATAGGACACATGCGCAACCGTTCGCGCTCTCCCATCAGAGCCGTTGCCCTATGCCCGAGGTGATGCTAAATGCCATGTGGCGTTTTGACTGTAATTAATTTGCAGGTTGCTCCCTGTCGATGCAGCCTGCAGATAACACGTCCATTGCATGAACAGTCGCATGCGTTAAAGCGCATATACTGCGAGTGCAATTAGGCGTAGCAGAGCGCTGGAGAACAGAGTGGAATTGTGTGTGCTGTGAGCCGAGTGTTTCGGCAGTGTGAAGGGAGGTTTTTAATCTGAACAGCTGCCCACATACACTGTGTCCTATTTCAGGCAACTAATGGGCCCCTTTCGCTAATGTTTTTGCTTCATTCGCAGTTCTTAATATATGAACCCCTAAGCTGTTCGCCCAACATTTTGAGGAAGAATTCAGATCGTCCACTACACCCACTGTGGCAAACCTACATGTAACCGTAACATTAAAGTCGCTCTTTGTGTATCATATGACCATGTAAAACTTGTAATGGCATTTAGCAGGGCAGATCAAGACCCCCAGGCCCCTGAATGTATTAAGGCTCACATAAAGGGCAGCCGTGTTCTCCGAACCGTGTTCTCAGGGCAAGGTAGGGGGAACAGCAGTCGTACGTACAAGTGCATGATTAGAGGGTAATAATCTCAACATGACTCTGATCTCCTTCATGTCGAATTGTGGGTGGTCGAGACCTATTTAATTGCTCAGCATTTGGCACGATAACCCACCGCAACCCTGAAATCGCTGTCGGCTATGATGAAATGCAGTCCGTTTTAATCTGACTGTGTGGTGCATCACTAGGTGTATTTACAGATGCTCTCTGGCCCTTGACTCTGTTTTGTGTTGTTGTTCTTTAGGGGTTCACATTTTCTCCTGCGGCTGGCTGTTTTTTGTTGATAATTGATGCATGTCTGCTTTTCTTGTCCTCTTCCATCATCCCAGTGTCATTGTGTGATGATGCGTGTGGTTTTTCGGAGCTCTGGAGTTTTGGAAATTAACCCCCAAGAGTGAGGGAGCTTGAAATTTTCAGAACTCTTACAGTTACGCTAACAGAATATTTGTAAGCTCTGCCTTCAGGTAAATGTCAAGATGAGCTGAGCTTCAAATGTGAGAAGGACTGACAGATCATCAAACCCTTTGTAGTAACTTGTCCTCTTATCTGTTTGTCCTCTTGTTTGTTTGAATTCCTTTTGAAAAAGTTTGTTTCTCAATTTTAGCCTAGACATCTGCAAGAAATGGGGAAAGAGTGATGTCCACCACAAACTTGACTGTATCATTTCATTTTCTGTGCAACTGGAAGGACCAGACCCAGATGAGAGATGTCCTTGTAAGCGAAAAAGTTGTCCAACAGTTGTTTCCAACCTTCCAAAACAGGTCAATCCACCACTTTCCCCCCCTGGGTACACCTTCCTCCCTAATTTTCACATCTCTCCCTCTTTCTTTTGTCACAAAGGTTGTTTTCAAATTGCGTACAACATGATGCCAGAGTGGGTGTTGGCATGCGGAGCAGAAAAGTAATGAAGACTCCATTGTTGTCACCTCTATTTGACGACCTTAGACATTACTAACCGTTTGGATGGTGCAATTCCATGGAAAACTGCGAAACAGAGTTTGGCAATCACTCGCATATTCCAGGGGTCAGTGGGTACCCGTCCCGCTGGAGCAACTAAGGTGTAACCTCTTCTGAACCCGTCCCATGAGCGCAACCACCCACCATTTGCCCACATTATTAAAACGGTCCCGCCCCTCAATGAGAGAACAGAGACCCTGTTGCTGCCTTGGATTTTTTTTCTTTCGGCTCAAAAATGGCTCAGTGGTCAGAGGAGGAAAATTTCAACAGCTCTGTTTTAGTCATTAATATGAACCCAAAATGCATGTTTGCTTTCTTATTTGCCGTTTGTACTTGCATTGTTTATTCCAGCTTGACTTTTTTCTTTCTGTCAGTTCCAACTGACTCCAGTCCAAATATTTATAATTAGATTAAAATGGGAAACATGTGGCGGCGAGGGAAGTTGCAGGGGGTCGTTGTTGAAACCTTCCCACCTCCATATGATTTCAATATAAAACTGGCCTCTGGCTCCATGCGCCTGGTGCAGACAGGAGGGTAGACAGTGGTGGGGCCCTCGCTCAGTCTGGGGGACTTCGCTTGGCAGAGCACAAACTTGGGGTTTCTGCGGAGCCCCTGAACCATGCTGCCCTACTTCCTGTACCATGAAACTGAGATCTACATCCCTGGAACAGAAGAGAGTCACTGTACCCCAAATGGCTCAATCAGTTACTCTCCGAGTGGAATCACTTCTCCGTTTGTCAGAGTAAGAGCATGCCATAGGAAATGAGGA